ATACATACAAACATGTAATTCCTTTAAAGTAATATTTATTATCGTAGACCAAGCTTTAGTCTGCCTCTTTAAAGCCAATCCAATTAAATAAATAATTATAGTCTATCATAATATTAATGTTAATAATTCCCATGACAAAGTAAAATAAAATGTTTTCTCGTACCTCATAAATAAATCATAATTGAAAGTGCTTCAGGGGCAGAATATGAAATATATTACACTGTTGCCTTTCAAATATTTAAAATAAATTCATAATGCAGTAATTTATGTGGCATTTGGATGGCAAAGCAACATGTTTGCGGCTTGCTACAAACAGCGCACCAAAAATGTGGCATGCCTCTGCGGTCTACTTTATTTCCGTAACATACTTTTGCGGTTAGTAGAGGACAACGCACACACACACACACACACACTTATTGTGGCGTGCTGACAGTTGCCTAAAAATAAAAAGAAAATCAACCCAGAAAATGTTGGGAAAAGAAATTGCAAAAAACTTTTTGCTTGAACTTGGCAAGAACCCACTCCAACAAGAGAGTGAGAGAAGTTGAAGGAGCACTCGAACCGCTTGGCCCATAAAGTAATTGATGATGTCATAAGGGTAGCTGCGTCTGCTTACCCATGTCTCCTTGTTGCTGTCAGGCTCCACGAATATCAAATGGGTGGCCGTCAGATATAAAGTGCCAACTGTGGGATTTTTCGTATTGTAGCGATCAATCATGCGCACATTTTCCACCTGTAAATAAGTAAGGTAAAGAAATGCATTTAATATATTTAATACAACTATCACTACGAGGTAGAAGCGCAATAAAAACATTTTATATTTATTGTTTGCTTCAGTTGCTGACGTCAGCCACACACAAGTGGCGCTGCAACTACTCAGCCACCCAACCACCCATAACCCACATCAAGCACCACCCACCCACACACACAAGTAAAAGGAAGCTCGAAATCTGAGTAAACAACATCAAAATGGTTGCAAATTATTTTACTGTCCGACAGTCAAGTGCAAAAGTTGGTCCTTGAAAAATATATTTGAGAAAAAAGTGAATGAAATTTAAAAAATATATATTTTTATTATTCATACTATTAAATAAATCATAAGACTGTATTTCTACTCTAGTGCTGCTGAGATTTGGCTCTGTAATTTTAATTAAAATATTGACATTTTAGTAAATAACACATTTTATTAAAAGTCGCATAAGCTTCCTTTTGCAGTTTTAAATTAAATTTATAATTCAATTCACAGAAATTTGCAAAGCAAACTAGCTGCCAACGTTGCCAGATCTATGAAAAATAAAATAGATTATTTATTGTAGAAAGCTATGGTCCCACTCCAATGATCATTTACCAGAAAACAAAGGGAAATTCCCTTTTATCCCATCATTTCTTTCTCTCTGCGGTAAATGCAATCTGACCGCATTTTGAATTGTAAATAAGATGAAACAAATTGAATAACGAAGATTTATGTGACATCAAATGAATTTCCCCAGTGAATAAAAGAGTGAATGCACAAATAACCGCAACAACTGCGACGACGTTTCAGATTGATTACGTTTAAGAGAATAGACTCCGGAAGACAAAGGCGCTTATTGCATTAATCCATTTACGTGTAGACCTCTATGACGTCATTTGGAATGCACACGAATCAACAACTATTGACTGAAATTGATTGGCAAGGGCAAAGGGCCAGCAGTGCAGCTGGCTGTGCTGGGCAACTAACATTTCTTCTTTGATAGTCAAGTACTTTGTACTTTTCTTTAATAGGTTTTCATATATATTGTATCATTTAATATTATTATATTGGAAATATTAAAATCAATTTTGATGGAAATCTAAATCATTCCTGTCAGAGTTATTCGTGCTCTTTGAAAATTTTGAATTAAAAAAGTTCTTCCAATTTAAGACGAGATTATTATATACTTGTATAAATATATTTGATTATAAGTCCCAGAGCTCAGCCATAAATTTGATTCGACAGGTCACTATGAACAAGGGACTATTTCAAAGGTATATCATCTGTATGTAGAAGTTGGCTTGTATTATCTAGTCTCAAATAGCAGCTAGTAATTTCGCTGCGATTAAAGCCATATCAGTGCACAAGAAGCCACAATTATTTAATTGGCCAAGTTGAGAACAAAGTCTTGTGGCGTTGCAGCTAAGGCAACAATTTGCCACAGACAATTTGTTGCAGTCTAAGGATGAAAGGAACGCAATGGCGCAGTGGCATGATGAGCCTGAATGAGACCATCGATGGATGGTCGTTCGGCTAGTCGACCTACATAAAATATGTATGTGCGTGCCCGCTGGCAAGTGCCCGGGGAGGAGGGGAGCTCTGTGCATAGCCTGCCATGTTAGTAATTTGCATATTCCGGCCGAGAGCAGCCGGCGGCGTTTGAAACAAAGGGAATGCGAGAAGTTGAGAAAAATTAGCTGAATATCGCTTGATTACTTCTGCTTGCATACATTTGCCTAATGAAACAAAGGAAATTAGGTCGGGTCACCTTTTTGAGGACCGTGTTGCCGTTGTAGTAGACGGGCGCCTCGTTGAACTCCTCCTCGATCCAGGAGACGACCTTATCGGAGACAAATGGCGGCACTGGTACACCCCAAAGGCGCTTGCCATCGGGCGGCTCCTCGGTCTCCGGCGATATATTATCGAAGCTGAGGCGCAGCGCCGACGTTGGCGACAATTGTCGTTCGATTTCATTAAACTTATTCATGAATCTGGTAAAATCCATTGTCACAGTGCCAAAGTATAGACTCGTTGTATATCTGGCAGAGATACTGTTTGCTTTGGGTAAATGTTTATTGATTTTAAATCAACATCAAAAGCAACGCCAGCAGCCTGTGCCTGGCTTTAAATCAAATCACGTGAATCACTAGGGAGGCGGTCGGTCCCTTTTACTACTTTCACTTTTTTGCTTAGCACACAAGCCGACGGAGTACGCTACTTATTCGTGTAACCCTACATATTTATTTATGTATATACTACATGTGCCACTTTGTTATTGCTGCCACTGCCACTGCCACTACCACTGCCACTGGTTCCCCATCAATATGTCTGTGTGTGCGTGAGCTTGTGTTATCAACTTTGTAAAGAGTGTAGCAAAGCGGCGGCGCTCGGACAGACTGACGACCGCTCCCGATGCTAACTCTGCGACGACTGTGAAAGGCGCGCGCTTAAAAGCATGCTACGAGCGCCCATAGGTACAATTCTGTTTTGGGGAAATTTTTCCGATTGGGTAATTTTCTCTCGCAGCACCGGGCAATAGGTACTATTTAAATACCCTAGGTTAGGGATATGTGAGCAAGTGTGTATTAAAGGAATTTTGTGCCAGTGCATACATTTAATACTATATACACGGTATACAAATATTATTGCTGAATAAGAAAATATGGTTTTATATATGTAATTTTACTTATATTAATTTCTATACATATATGCCATGCCTATACGAGTATCGAATTTTAAACTCTTTATATTGACCTTATAAAAAACATACTTAAAACACATTATATCATCCTCTAACGCATAGCCAAATATTTCCATGTATCTGTGTATTAAATATCACTCAATATACATATTTTGGCTATAGGGTATTTCATAGTCAGGCAGTAATACTCGTCGCATGTTAGTTTACCTTAAGTAACAACATCGACTAATAATCTAATAATCAAGTTTAATGATATACATTTAGTTATCGCAAGAAACCTATTTAATTGATTTTCTTTTGAACTTTGCATGCAATTTTTACACATTTTAAATTGACAGCAGCAACAACAACAACAATATCAACAAATATAAAATGTTGACTATGCAAATTTGTTGAACTTGACTGAGGCAGCAAATTTTTCGATTGAGATTTAAATTTAAAAATTGCTTTTACTTAAGTTAAATGGCTGAAGAATTCATGGAATGTGATTATAAACAAATGAGTTTGTATAAAATCTTCCATTTGGCTCATAGATCAACAGTTCGCTGTTCAATAAAAAGGGCGTTGAGGCATTGAGGCTAGCAGTTAAACAGTAGCGAAGACTTCGTGAACTGCGATAAGGCTGGTATTTTCATAGTCAAATTATACACAAATATATATTTTTATATATACACATATATACTTGCGTTACTAATGAACGTAATTATTTGCGCTAGTGTAAAAGATCGCGTAGATGCCGTAGAATGTGGTTGAAAATGTAAATATCAAAAGGGAACTTGATTTTTGTTCACGTTTTAATGGTTCGCCCGAATGCGCATGATTTACAGTTATGTTTATGTACATAAGTTGTGAACAGGTGTGGGCGGCATGCCACGGCCAGTAAGGCTGTCTCGTCCTTGGCCCCACCCTCATTGTGGGCGGCGCAAGGGTTGGCCCTCGCCGGGTCACACAGACGTTTGTTGTTGCTGCTGCTGTTCTTCTATTAGAGAGAGAACAGGAAGAACAGTTTCCACCTGACCATCGATTTTGAATTAAACATAAAAGTTTCCAATTGCATGACTCAGCTCACAGCTGGCGACAGGACAGGTGCGACTGATAAATGGTCTACTTCACGCATATCTACATTCTTAACTATATCCGCACTGATTAAACTAAAATATATATTTACATACCTTTGCCAGCTTGATATCGTCCATTGTTTACGTTTTTTTCGTCGGTTTCACTATGAACTTCAAACACTAAGCAGATTCTCGGCGGCCCGTGCTTTTGCTTACGCGGCGAATTTAATAAATTACTCACGAACAATTTAATTTTTATTAAACATATTTTACTGAAACATATTGCAGTTTATTATAGTTATAAATTGGGATTGTTGATATGCTATCGATATTTTAATTTCGATACAATACTATCGTTCAGGCTGCACCCTAATAAAAGGTGGTAATGCGATAGGTTTTAAATCTGGTGTTGCCACCTTGAATGGAGGATAGTTATTATGGATATACAGTCATCTGGCAGCACTGCATTCCATTAATTTAAATTTGAATAGTGCTAAAATTTCTTTTAATAAACTCAACAAATATCGCACAAGCTATAAAAATGGATTTAAGTTGTTTCAACTATAACAATAAGTGCACTTTCTGCTGTGGGCCACATTTGTAATTGTCGGTGTAGTGTGTGAATTATTCTCATTTACGCAAGCCTACGTATTTGGTCCAAACACCTTTGTTATCAAAGTACGGCTTGTTCCGCGAACAAATAATTGCTTCTTTAAAAATGGCAGCGTATGCTAGCGGTATGGACGCATGCTTATACAGATTATACAGGAATTCGTAAATCTGAAATAAGGAGTTTATGAAATTATTATGATGGACAATATCAGATAACTGCTCACCTTTGCCTCCTGATCCTTCCAAAATATGTGATCACATAGATACTGTAAGCTTTCTGGGAACAATGCAAATCGTTCCTTATCATCTGTGGCCACCACATCTACAGTGCCTAGCAGCACAGCACAACCTGACAAAACATCCACAGCCAATATAAAAATGTCCAGTAAATACAGCGCTCTGTTGAGTTTCTCTTTGTTGGAAGACTCAGCGAGCATCATTTGTATTTCCAGAAAGATTTCAATAATCCAGTTGCATGCATGCTCATCGCTCGCAAAGGCGTACAGTGTGGTGGCCAGATGACGATAGAAAAAGGGACGTTCATCCAATCGACGTTCGTAAGCATCGATTATGGGCGTTAGCCATTTTAGGGGATTTGGAAGTTTGTCGTTATATAAGACTAGATAGCAGCGTATTATCGTTGCCTTCTTTAGTTTTCCCACAGGTGTTTCCCACCAATTTGCTGGTGTGGTTAATCCATCGATGGCATTAGGAGACAGCACGGCCACTACTTCGGTATACCGCTCAAACAATCGGGAATCTAGATCCATTGAGTCCATGTAGCGCTCCACAATAAGCGTAAATACGTCGAGAACCTCGGGTATCTCACATTTGTCGGTGTATATATATCTCACGCTGTCCAAGAACTTTTCAAACAGGCAGCCTGCAGCAAATTAATCTTTAGTCTTGTTTCCAAATACAAAACATGGTAAATTTTCTTACCTTCTACAAAGTTATTCAGTTGCGATTCCTTGAAGCAGTAGACAGCTACTTTCTCGGCAAAGTTCTTCAGTATTTGCAGGCTGACGCTGTTTCCTATTTCGGGCAGCAAGGAGAACAATAGCAGCAGATCCTCCTCAAAGCAATTGGGCTCAAAATCAGCTAGGAAATTCTCCAGCAGTCGTCGAGCTGTGCCGCTGTGCAGCGCTTGGTTTTTAGCTATCATTATGCAATATTTTCGAGCATCAAAAGACAAGTGGAAGAAGCTGGTCAGGCAGCTCCAGTCCATTGGTGGTATGGGCTTAGCGAACCGTTTGGACAGTGCACGCAAAGCATAGGTGACGGCGTATGGTTCTGGCACGTAGTCGCCAAACCGAGACTGATTCACCAGGTAATTGCTGACCGCACGTAGTGCACTGGTAGCAAAGAGACCAACCAGCTTGCGTGGCTCCGGCTTGCCCTCGGGAAGACGATAGACGCCGCTGCGAAAGCCGCTGATCTCGTTGCCAATGTAATGAGCAACCAGATCAGCAGCTGCATCACCGCATTCGGGTCGTATCTTTTGCAATAGTTGCACCCATACCTCACCTGGAATAGGCTCCGGCTGCTGCTGAAAGTTCATCACATCATGACCGCCTGCAGGTCCACTCAAAGCAATATCAAAGCAAAACTGCGGCGGGATGTGGCGCAGGCTTAGCGTGTTTCCCGGCTCATAGTTTTTGAGCGCTATAAGTGCTTGTCGCACTTGTGGGGCATCTGTATTGGGGCGGCTAATAGCTTGCCACAGCTGCTCCAGGGCATCATCGGCCAGCTTCTCGTACTCCAGCGTCGGCGTTTGCAGCAGCGGCACCAGTCCAAACAAGTGATAAAGCGACTTCAGGGTCTGTGGACGCTGTTCATTACGAAACTTGGCACCCAGCGCCTGCCAAGTGGAGGCAATGTTCACTGTGTGGCTGTCGCACAGCGCATAGATAGCGTCGAGGGCCAGCGAAGTGGCAAGATCACCCGATTCGTCGGTGCAGCTATTCAGTGTGTTGCTTAAATGTGGCAGCAGCTCAGAGCCATGCAGCGTGGGTCTGTAAAATGAGTAAATGTAGTTAGGAATCATACATAAAAAGCTTCGACTAGACTCTATTTACTTTTCCTGGCAGATTTCACGCATGGCATGCGTACGAGCTATTTCCAGCTCCCAGCGTTTATCGTTGTCTGGCAGCGGCTGTGCGATTTGCTTTAGCAGAAACGGATACGTGCGTGTCTCAACGCGCCAGAGTCGCAAATACAAATCCACACAGAAGGTGGCATTGTCCGTGGAGAGATTACGAATTGTATTCAGTATCATGGGCACGTTATCCTGGCAAGCGATAGAAATTTATCATTCGATTAGATCATTAGAAGAATTTGCCATTTTTACGTACCTTAGACACTGCAAAGTTGGCCAGGCCGCGCAGCAGCTCCAGCTGCAGCTCCGGATTGTGCTCGTGGGCGAGCTTAAAGATGTACGTCATGAGGAAGTCATAGGCAATGCTCTCGTTAACCTTGATGATCTGCAGAATGACCTCGTAGATCTTGAACCAGCAGTCAACGGGCGGTTCTCGCGATAGAAAGAGTGCGCGCAGAAATAAATGCAGACGTTGACAAAAGGCCGTGTTTGCCTTGACATTCAAGGCGTCGACAAAGGCAAACACGTCCTTGTTTTCAGCTGAGTCAAATGACTCCACCAGATTGGCCAGATCAAAGGCAATGGCTATGTCAGGATGATAGTTGCGTATGTGTGCCGGCTGCAATTCCTTGGTACAGATGGGCGATACAAACTCCACGTTGCCATCCTGCGGCGGCTTTTGCTGCTCGAGCACACGGTCAACAATTTGATGGGCTAGCGCCAGGCCCTCTGCGGGTATGAATGCAGTCTGAGACATCCACTGAATGATGCCGTCCAGACACATGTTCAGAATGTATTCATGGCCACAGCGCTCCTGCACCACCACAAACACAATAATGCGCAGCAGATCAGCCAGATAGAAGGGTGACAGCACGTGCAGGCACTCAGCGAGCAGCACCAGCAGCACATGGTAGTGATGTCGCGTGTGCTCCCGCGTGGCATGCAACACACGCAGCAGACACTGCAGGCTGGGACGCGGATCTATGCCAAAATGGGCCAACTGCTTGACGAGCTGCGCCTGATAGATGCAAAGATCGACCGACTGTGCGTGATCTGATTGCTGCAAAAAGTAGTCGAGTGCCTCAATGACCAGAATGCTGGTGCACAAGCAGGTGCTGGCATTGTTGAACTTGCTCCAAGACAGCAACTCCTGCATGAGTGCACGTGCCTCTGGCCGGCTGTGGCTCAGACCCAGCAGACACGTCCAAATGGGCTTGACGTCCTGCAGTGTCTGGGGATTGCAGAGCACATAGAGGAACACGGGACGCAGAAACTCGATGCTGTAATTTCGAATACTGGAAGTGCACACAAATCATATGTCAGTAAAGTCAGTATATAGATTAGTTGATTTTCCTTACTTCTGGTCGTGATGCTGACAGATGCCAATAATCTTGTGGCTGACATCGTTCATGTTGGCGCTGGTGTGCTGCAGCAATGATATCAGCGGATGCAGCTGCGTCTTCAAGCCATACGGACACTGATACAGTTCCTTATTCTTAAGTAGCGAAGTCTTGCGCTTCAGACTCAACAGCTGCAGGCCCAGAATGGTCTCCGTTATAATAGCAAAATGCATTTGTCTGCAGTAATAGGAAATAATTGTTAAAATTTCATTTATAACTTATGAGTAGCACTCACTATTAGGTTTATCTAAGAGCTTTGCTAAGGTGTTAAAGTCTTTTACCTCAAGAGCATCATTCTTTCAGAAACGTAACCCAAAGTACTTAAAAAGTTAACTACTATGAACAAGTTAACTACGGGCCAAAAAAAGAAACCTATAATTTACAGGTAATCATAAAGACTCTCAGCTAGTCTCTGATTACCTGTGCGTGTCTAGGAAGCAGAGCACCAGAGTGTTTGGGGGCAGAGTGTGCTGCGTGTGGATAGAAATTGCAATTGCACTTGCACTTGCTCGCTATCAGGTGGGTAGAGTGGGGTAGATGAATATCAGTTGCTAGATGCCATTAGGGTTGGACTGACTTAACTAGCGTTTAGCACCCACTTCCGTCACACCACCTCACACACACACACACACACACACCTCTGCAGAGGTGCGGCTGGAGCAGTTGCTGCTCCTGGCACTTGCAGGCAAATCGTTTTGCGTTTGACGCGATAATTACATTTCACACGGCGTCCACATTGGCTGCTCGCAGTAATTGCTGTTTCTGTTGCACAAGGGGCAATTAATATGCAATCCTTTTTACTGGCACTTGCACCTGCACCTTGGCTCTTATCAAGGTTAATTTCTGTATTACATGCTGTTTACTTTTCCCGTGATTTTTTGTTGCTGCCGACTGCACCTGCTGCTGCAGCTGTTGTTTGTGTTGGGCTTGGGGGCGAGCGTCCTTCAAATGTAGAAAATATTTCAAGTTCAATGCCGCACGCTTCACTCTTTCGGCTTGCATATCAAATATTTGCTTGGCAAGTAGCTGGCGCGTAATTTGAATATGGCCAGTTGGCCATTTGGTCATTTGGCTGTTTGGCCATTTCAGTGGTCAGTGGTAGTCGCAAGGCCGAGACGCTGTCCTTGATGAACGGCTTCCTCTGGGAGTGTGGTCGCGTTACGGAAATGGCTAATAGATTTTTTGGCGTCCTGCATACATAATGCGTATATTTCCATTCTTTCGTGTCACTGTTGTTGCTGCAGATGTTACTGTTGCTTGTCGAGATTGCGGCCATTGGGTCAGCGGCAGGAAGCTATGTAAATTGCTCACGCACAGACCAGGTCGTAAGTCAATGCCAATGTGCGCGTAAAAGCGTTAACAACGTAGATTTCCTAGTTGGCATGCCTCGTATTTCATTTTCGCATATTAAGCACAGGCCAATTAATTAGGGGATACTCTTCTTTGCATGGGGCCCTGACAGAGGCGAGCCCCCAGCTGCTAGCTAATCAAATATCCAATTGCCTGGAATGCGCCTATGCAGTCAGCATGGTAATATATGCTTCATTGTTAAACAATTTTAGAAGTGCATTCGCCTGTGCTGCTTTACAATGCCAATAGGCAGACTAACTTCAACGGAAGTGCTCGCTCAGGGCGCGCCCATATGATATGAGTATGTGTGGGTACATAGGAGTATGAGTGTGTGTGTGAACTTACCCTGCATTGGGCAGCATTGATAGCAGTGTGTTCTGTACACTGTTGGCATCTAGGACACCCTCGTCGACTAGGCGGACCAGCGTCTGACAGCTCATCAGACTGAGCTGCATGTGCTCGTGCTTGCATTGAGTTTTAAGGAATTCGATTTCCTTGATTTGGTGCTCGGCCACTTGCTTCTCCTTGGACTCGACAATTTTATTGTAGATCTTCTCCAAACAAGCGGCTAGCTTCACCACCGACGTATTGGATTTTATGCTATTGAAGTCCTCCATGGCAGCACCGTCGAAGCTGAAACGGCAAAACGGGAACGACAAAATGTCAGTTAAACGGGACAACTTTATAAGCTACTAATTCGTATGTGAATTTGACTTCCTCGAACAAACACACACACACAAACACAGAGAACAGTAACGGGATTTATTGTTTGTTTGGGCACTACAAGTATCCCACTTTCAAATACTGCAACGCGCGTGTCCTTTCGTGTGCTCGGTCAACACTCGAATGACGGCGCGGCCTTTTTTGAACACATAAAAAAACAAAACAATTTCCACGTTGCCCACCTTCACATGCACCTTCGCCTTCTGTTAGCAGTGTGGGCGCCTTGCGCGTGTTATCAAATGTGTTGGTTGCTCTGCACGCAGCTCATCTAACAATAATGTTGATCAAAATTAATTTTAAGCATGTAAGTTTGTTTTTATCAATTTCTTTGTTTATTAAACTGAATTCATGCGGCACGATATCAATTGTAAACAAACTTTGTGACGAACGCAAAATGAGCAACACAAACGCAGAAGAGAGCAACGTAAGCGCCGCGTTGAGCTTTCAACGCCAAAAAAACAGCTGTGGCAGTGACGTAAACGCAAAAGCAGCGACGTAAGCACGTAACAATTAACGTAGCATTTAAATGCACTTAATAGCGGTTATTCAAAATACGGGAAATTATTGGAATTTAAATAACTTCAAATTTAATACTTATGTAAACAAATTTTAAAATTTAATAATAAGTAAATGAAGGTTAGTAGCTTCATAATTACCTTGGCAAGTAATAACTTAATATTTAAAAATCTTGTAAAATGTTTTTCTCAGTCTAAACTAATTTATCATATTTATTTGATTATCTTTTTTAATTTTTTTTTCATAAAGAATATTTTTGCTACACAAGAATTTTGTACTTTATACAAATTTATGTTGTTATGTTTGTAATAAGCTGCGAGTCGCTGCAACGCCGCGTCTACTTTATGCCAGAGTTGATTTATATCACGCTTAGTTAAGCTGCTTCAACTTTTTCGTGCTCTTTCAGTTAATTGAGTTTATGCATTTCTGCAAAGCGCCCTGGCGTAAAATAAAATTAATTATCCTCCTGCAGCCATAAAAATTGAAGCCAGCTAAAAAAGACGAAGACTCAAAGCTGAATGAGCAAAAGGTAAGCAAATCTCATAAATGAGAGTCAAGCACTAAAAAAACCAGAAAGTTACTGTGACCCTAAAGAATTCTATGTACTAACTTAGCGAATAAAACAAGTACGGCAAAATGTGGACTGCAATCGGTCAGCTCGCAGCCAAAGCAAAGGCTGAGATAACAAAGCCTTAAACGAAGAGAGCCCAACATCGTTTCCGCTTCCTGCCAAAACTCAGTTACAAAATGGCTTTTTTTTGTGTTGTTTTAGTCAGCCATGTTTGGCCTTAACCTCACGTCGGCTTGGCCGTGGACTTATAATTTTATTACGGCATCGCGATGCATAGCTCAGCCTGAACCTGTGAAATACGCCGTGAAAGTTTTTGCTTTTTTCCTTTAGAGTTTTTATGCGCTGAAACCATTGAAAGTGGTGAAATAGGGTATATTGAGTTGATTAAAGTGTATGTAACAGGCAGATGAAAGACACAATAAGGTATCTATATTCTTGGGAGTAATTAACAGTCAAATTAATGCTGTCCTGTTTGCGGGTTGTCTGTCCAAAAATACAAAGGTAAGTATAAAAGTCAGGGTCTATAGTAGCCAAATAAAAGTAACTTTTGATGTCAATGAAATCAATTGTTTGAGTTTATCTGATATATTTTAAAAGCCGAAGTTACAAATTTGAATGTGTTCTGAGAGCAGGGTATTAGCTAGTTGTTCACTCCCCACCACACGCTGTCTACTTGCTTTTTGTGCGGTTTTTTTGTTGCTGAACTTTTTACATCTCATCGTGAGTAGCCAGAGTCATCAAAGGAACAAAGCCAGCGCCGATTTGCTTGCATCACTATCATCGCCATTCATCTGGGCAAAAAGTTTTCTTTTTTTTTTTTAATTTTTATATACATATAAGTTCCTTCTGACTGATTCTGCTTGGCTATCTGATGATGTTGTCCAGAGTCCAGCTGCTAATCCTTGTTAGGGTTGCGTATTTAATGTACAATTAATATGCTACATTAATGAGGTCAGCTTTTTTTATTGCTTAATAAATATTAAGTATATATTTATGCTCATTAAAGCTGTTGAGGTGAAGACAACATTTGTACTATTTATTTTTAGCTTGCAATTAAATGAGCTTCATGGAAATTGTTAGATGAGATTTTAATTGCTTTCGTATTCCAGGAATTATTTACATATTTACTTACTTTACATTAAATCATTATTCAAAGAGAAATGGGTGAAATTAGAGTTGAACTAGATTATCAAATCGATCCGAACTAGGTTTTATTTAAAGTCTATGAAAAGTTTTGTGACTAAACTAAATTGAATAAATTTATATGAGAATATATTGGATTTGCTTCTGTTTAGCCAAGCTTCGTGTTAATTATGTTATTTGTATTATCTTAATTTCAGATCAAATATATACTTAATGCAGGCATTTCAATCAGCATAACGTCACGCCTTAGCACACTTTATACAGTTATATTAAAAGCTTATTTTAATTGTTATTTGCAGTATTATGGGCTCGTTGTCACCAAATAACTCATTTACATATCCATATGCATTTGCATAAAATCTGTTACACGCATGTAAAATATCATGAAGCAGTAGCCACATGTACACAATGTATGTACATACATATATACATATATATTATATATATATGTGTGCGTATGTTTCATGAACTGTTTATGTTGGTGTTGATTAAGACTAAGACCTTTTCGGTTAGCACGTCGCAATAGAAATTTGCATATGGCAACAGTCCGTAGAGTTTAGCTGGGGGGCTAAAATCACATTGCCCCAATTAAATGGTGTCGACTTATTAATTATGCACAAATTTACCTTATTTCGACTTAATATGCTCTCAGCACTGCCGACATTAGTTATATAATTATAATTATACAACAAGTTCAAGATTAAAGCAAAGCAAAGCGAAGACTGAACTTAAATTACTTCGAGCTGGCAAAGTTCATAATATTGCAGTGGGGCGTATGTTCATAGCAAACATGAATATTTATATTCACCTGTTTGCACTCAATTTCCACAAACTCGAGCAATGAATATTCATTATGTGCTGCGTCGGCCTCTCAGCTAAGCCGCCAACAGGCTTTTTAATGTTACTTCCTTAAAAGCAATCTGCAACACATATATATATATATATATATAGATTCAGTTAGAAATGCATATGTCTTGCCGAAAACTATCTGCTCATCTTGCAATTAGTTCCCGACAAGTTGCTAATTGGATTAAATTCAGAGCAACTACAACCACAGTGTCCAGTCATCAGTATCTCTCTCTCTCTCTTTTAGTAATTTGCTCACAAAGTTCAAATGTTGCTAGAAATGAAACAAAAATGCTTTGATAATCGGATTTTAGGCATCTTTTTGTCACCTTGTGTAAAGACCTAGCACTTTACAAGCTCGATGCGTGTGTTGGCCAGCGTATTACGCATACGCCATGGAGTACAAGCAGATTCTGTTGCCTACCTTTTAGCGCACACAAATTGGATACACGAGTGTAGGTGTGTGTGTGTAGGTGCTGAAATGCGCCTTTGCTTTATTTCTTTTCAAATTTTCACCCAGCGCCCACGTATGTATAAAGAAATAGCAAAAAAAAGGAAATTGTTTAACGGTTGGCAACACGAAACAAAGCCAAAAAACCTTTTCAATTTTCAACTGGCTATTTATTTTCTAAATTAGAAATTGCTTACATATATATACGAATATAAATACATATAGAGTCTAACACATATATACAAATGTACTGTAAATATAATTTGTGCGGCACGTGCGTAAAATTTAATGCGGCGCCTGCGAACGACCTACAAATTGTGAATTCTGCGACCCGCTGTTAACCCTTGTTGCCTCCAAAACCAACTCAGCCAAACAATTATGTGTTGACTCAAGCTCAATATGCTGCGAATGCACTGAATACATAACTACTCTATCGCATACATACATACGTATCTATTATATATGCTATATAAACTTGTTATGGTTGGCTGCTGTATTTTGATTTCGGTTTCGATTCAACATTTATGTTGATTTCATGCATTTTTATATTTTCATATCAAAATGTGTTAGATAACTTTAAGACACCCTGGACTCAAACAAGAAGAAAATAATTTGTGTTTAATATTTATTTATTAATATAGACACCTGTTTTATTAAAAATAGTAGTGCACCAACTTTTAATTAAATGAAATGATAATTTTTGCGTTAAAAATTAAAAAAAAATTTTATATCTGAACATTTTAGATTCCTGAACAAAAAAAGGCAGAAGAAAAATTTTTACAAACAAAATATTTATAAAGAAAATTAAATATTTTAAAATATTTATAAGTATTATACATTTTGAAAAATATTTATATGTATGCGAAATATTAACAACATAAATTTACAAGTTATACATGCTACAAAAATAATTCCATCTTACGAAAAGTAAATTTAAAGCTTCATAGAATAATTTCTTTTAGAAGCTTAAGAAATTTCTTTTAAATGTTTCTGCTTTTGAGTTTTGAATAAATCTCTGCTGGCCTGTGTAAAAATGTATAAAAATAGCTGTGATTTGAGAACTTGTCAACAACAAATTAACAAGGCTTAAATCATAGATAGGTGATCAAGTTGTCTGGGTATTTCAGGCACCTTCGGGTTCTATTATCAGCAGACTCTTTATCTCCGTCTGGCTTGTTGCTTTCTCTTGGTACTCTACTAACTATTAGTGATAAGCTCTTACTATTTGAGCATTGTGTAGTTGATGTTTTTGTAAAGTTGTCAAATGCCAGTGAAGCCTGCGTTTAATTTTTGTGTACTTATGGCATAAAAGTGTTAAGTATAAACTAATATTATTACAATTATTATTTTTTCTTGACTTTTGTGATTTTCTTTTCTTACTATACTTGATCATTTTTACTTTGAGGAAGGTCATAATCTACTCAAGAGTCTCGCGCAGTGGACTTGTAGGCATCATGAGGTGGGCGTCATGCTTGAACATTATAATATACAAATATATGTATATAATCATATATTAAGTATATATAAAGGTAAATAGCCTGATATTTATTTACCCTTTAAGCAATTTCCCAAAGCTTAAAGGCCACATAAATAAAATTCCTAATTTTTCCCTCGTCTTTGTTTATTTAAGTTGATATTGTTTTTGCCATGTTTATCTATGTTTTGATATGCAAGTAGCTTCAGCAAATCGAGGTTCAGGCTCGGGGCCAGGCTTAGCTGGGCTTAGCTGAGCGAGTAATAATTTGCAGCTGTAGCCAAATTTGGAGTTCGCTAAATGTCAATAAATTGCGAGGGCAACATTAATTAAGAAATTCAAAGAACAGCCGCAGAGCGCCGCATGGACATTCATTTTGTTACCAGCTAACTGAAGTTGGCGTACACAAACACACACAGATACACACTCACACACTCATATATATGTAGTTACGCGCGCATTCACACTTATGCAGTGGCGACTTTATGCGGCAAAGGGTTAAAAGCATAAAAGCCCGAGGTGTTTAAGCATATTTACACAATACGTGCACTACATGTGTGTTCTTGTGTATGTGTTAAACATTCAAACATGTGTGGAGCGTTACCCACTACTTTGTCCCCTTTGCGATGCGCCGCACAAGTGCCTGTGGTTGCAGAGTGTGAAATATTTTGCTCTGCCACATCCTACACACATGCACACACATACACACACATGCACGCTTGTATGTGTACGTTTTTGTGCCGCCGTATCTTGTCTGAGGGTCTGGCCAGCAGCTCCTAAATAAACAAGTCCGACGCTGTGGCATTTCCTGCTTTAAACTTGAATTTCGAGCACATTGCTCGTGCCAATACGTTTTTCTATTCTTTTTTTTTTTTTGGACTCCTCTAACCCATTTGTAGATATACATGTGCCAGTCACTCCATGGTGCCCTAGAGCCACAGCTCTGGCTCAACTTAGACAACAAACGAAACTATTCAATGAATTGCTCTTGTCGTTGTTCTTGTTGTTGTTGTGGTTTTTGACTTTACGCAGGAACCCTTTCAGCACATCCAACTAAAACACAAATAAAATGGCTCGCCTTAAATGAAATGAAATTAAAGGCGCCACACACTGAGACAACTTCTCATAAATTGTGCAAACATTTTGTGTTTTCGATTTATTCATGCAAATTCTAATTCGACGGGGTTATTTATTATTTTATAACTAAATGGCTAATGCAATGTGGAGCACAGATTAAATATTAACATTGGCGTGAAACTAAAATAGAAATTCTTGGAAATTAATTAGTGAAAAAGTTGAAAAGTTGACAATATATTTAATATATATAAGCAATATATATCAAATATGTATTTTAACTATTCAACAATATATATTTATTATTTTCAGTAGCCTGCCATCTGCTTAGAAAGCTTTTATAACATGAACTAGGATTAAGTTTAAAAATTGTCTTAAAATATATATTTTTGTTGGTATCTGTGACTTAATTAACTTATTTTCACATGGCACACTTCTATTTTAATGCCATATATTTACAAAGAAGTTAGACTCTTCAACTCAAAGATGTCATGAAAAGCCGCAAAAAGTTTGTGAAATAAATTAAGAGAAATGAGTGCCAGCGCGAGAGAGCAAGAGCAAGAAAGAAACAGAGAGTGAGATAGAGTCAGTTAAATCAGTTAAATGAACAAAACAAACCTCATATAAAACTTAAAGTTAGGTGAATGTTGAGTATTTTGTGCTCTTAGCAAGGAAAGTATTTAATATGATATTATAAAATGAGAGAATTAAAAGAAGCAGACAGAGAACAAAAAGGGCAAAGATAATAGTTGCAGTCGAGCTATGATGATATGATGATATGATGATATGATGATATGATGATATGATGATATGATGATATGATGATATGATGATATGATGATATGATGATATGATGATATGATGATATGATGATATGATGATATGATGATATGATGATATGATGATATGATGATATGATGATATGATGATATGATGATATGATGATATGATGATATGATGATATGATGATATGATGATATGATGATATGATGATATGATGATATGATGATATGATGATATGATGATATGATGATATGATGATATGATGATATGATGATATGATGATATGATGATATGATGATATGATGATATGATGATATGATGATATGATGATATGATGATATGATGATATGATGATATGATGATATGATGATATGATGATATGATGATATGATGATATGATGATATGATGATATGATGATATGATGATATGATGATATGATGATATGATGATATGATGATATGATGATATGATGATATGATGATATGATGATATGATGATATGATGATATGATGATATGATGATATGATGATATGATGATATGATGATATGATTATATATGACAGTGTTATATGATGATATAATATATGATGATTCCCGATATATCTATACGATCTCTACTTACCATTTATATCCATTTATGAGTGAAGCTTCATACTGAGTCACCTGGTAAACTACGTGCTGTTTGTCAAATATACATTAAGTTTTATCTGATTTATTTATGGCTTTTAACATTTTTTGTATAATTTTAATATACTTCAGCTTGGACAGGTTTGCATTAGAAATATGTCGAGTTCTAAGGCTGTAAAAAGTAATAATCTCAGTTTAACTTAATTAACACCTGCTAAGACGACAGTCGACAAGACTAGACAAGTCTGTAGGAACCTACGAACAGATTGCGGAAATTTCTTGTAGCTTTTAAGAGTTCGTGACAAAGATATTCGCATTAGTGTGTAAATACTCAATTAAACTCACATTTAACAAATATTTTTATTATCTAGATAAGATAGAACACTTACACCCCATTTGCCATATCAGGCATGCTCTTAATATACCCTATAAAATATAGTTTTATCTCTTAATTAGATTTATTGATTATAAGACATTTTACAGTTATAAACATATTCGTTGCGTGAACTCAGCCCTGTAGAGGCTGGCCATTGGGCTGGATCACTGCCGATTGTCCACCAATCAAGCCGCCCAGGCTCTGCTGCAGGGAGCGCAATATGCCAATAGGAATCTGTTGGAGAGCGGGAGAGAGAGGGGTGCATGGCACAAGGGTCAAACAATTAAGTCGCATCAGCTGAACGTGGAATGACTCACATCGAGTGCCTGGCCAACGACTCCTTGTGCCTGCGGTGCTACGACGTGATGGCTGACGCCCTGTGGTCTCTGGTTGGCGACCTGTGCGTATTTGTGCACCACCTTGGCTTCATTCTTGGGCGACGCCTGTGCGTGGGTGGGTGAGCGAAAGAAAACAATCAGTTGGCTACGAAAATATAATAACAAATGGCAGACAACAAGAACAAACAAAAACATCGGCTAACCGAAAGCTTAATAAATGCAAAAGTTATTTTTAGCTGCCACCGAAAACGTAATGAAAACACATGCAAAAAATTATTGAAAATATTTCAACAAGTTGGCAACTCGCTGCCCCAAAATAAACCACAATTTAAATAAATTTACAGCAAACGCTGGTCAAATATTTTGACCCAAAAGCGAAAGTTGCAGCCAAAAGCCAAAAGCTGTTGCTGCTGCCAACATTTGGACAGTTTCTCTCTCTCTCTCTTTCTGTGTGGGTGTGCATGTGTGTGGGTGTGGGTGCGGGTGTAGCTGTGCATCTATATATATCCTTTACCACACAGCTGCCCAGTTGTTTGTTTTTGTGTTTGACTGTTACCTTCGCCGGCTCATCGGCATGCGAGGCGGTGGCGACAGTCTCCGGCTCATGTGGTTGCTGCTCCTCCTGTGCCGCTTGCGTTATGTATACGTTGCGTTGGCGTTGACGTAGACGTTTTACATGTAGGCGTGGCCGCTTGACAATTATTAGTGGGCTTGGCGCTTGCTCTGTGGCCGGCACTGCGGCCGTTTCAGCATGATTTTCATTGATTTGACTGGTCGCTCTGTGGTCTGACTAACATGTATAAATTATGAGGGGCATGGAAAACACATACACAGACACCATAAAAACATATGTATAAATATATATATGCACGAGCTTACATAGAGTTAAACACTTAATGAGTGGCTTAAGTGTAGAGAGAACTTCAAGGCAGACAGACAGAATTGATCAATTAGTAACATGTTAATGAAGGAACATTTTCTATATATTAGATCTCAGTCTCTTGATAGCTGCCTAACGAGAGAAACGTTTCTCAGTGCCTCAAAGGCTTATCATTTTGACACAAATAAAAACGGAAGCTGCAGCTTGTTACATCGCAGATATGCACTTAAGATAACAGACAAAGACCTGCACACGTCAGACAAAGCAAAAAACAATATTTCACTCTTTAGTAGGCAACAATTGCCGTTTGGCAAGTCAACAAAGTCGCTTGCTATCTACGATTATTTGCAGACAGTTGGAATGCTATCTAGTTACTTCTCTAGGTACATACTGGAGATCTTAATTAACTTCATAGCTGCTCCCTTTACTTACATTCTGTGCGATCAGCGAATACTTCTTGGGCGGCTTGACCTTTTGCACATAGGTAGGCGGGCCGGCTGTTGGCACCACTGGGGGCGTGTCTTCAACAGTTGCGGGGCCCAAGGTTACATGCTGCTGGCCATGACTTATAGAGTGGACAGCCTTGCGGCCGGGTGCGTGTGCCTCGGAGCCAATGTAGCCGTGTTCGCCCACGCTGCCGCCAAGCAGCGCGCTGGCGCCAACCTCATCGTTGGCCTGAGCCGCTGCATATGCACCGCCAGCGGTGCGACCTGTGTGGATGTAGCGTATATCGAGATGAAAATCACAGAAATTAATGTGGTAAATACCGTTGAGACCGCCGCCAAGACCAGCGGCGGCACGCGATCCCCAGGGCGTGCCAGCCGAGGCGCTGAGGCCGCCGTGGGCCGTGTTGCCCGTGAGCAGGCCGCCCAGTCCGGCGTCGGCATGGAAGCCGGCAAAGTTGACGCCCACCTTCCCGTCGCGCAATGTAATCAGCTGCAGAAACGAGAGACGTTACAGATTAGAGAGATGAGTTAGCAGTGAGTTGGCCAAAGTTAGTTTTACGCTGCGTATACTTAATGCCATTGAAAGTTGCGCTCTTTGTTTAGGCATGCAAAACTTTGGCATCAGATGCCGACGCCATTTTTCACAAATAGTAAAAGTTTTGCGCCCAAAAAGGAAACTTCCAGCGAACACCTAAAGATATTAGCCGAAAGGCGCAGGTAGGCAACAAGTTTCCCTCGACCCGACCAACGGCTAGTGCCCAAAAAGCGTCAATCAATTTAAATTAAGTTTGCCAACTTTCTAATAAAACGGAACTGCGAATGGAATTCGATTGAATGGCTGACTTGGCTGCATTTACACAGAAAGAGGGCCGCATCAACCACACCTGACCTCAAATCATAAATTTCAATTACCCAAGCCCTGAGCGCCACACGTGTTTCAGAAACACATTTTCTGTTTTAATTCTATTTTCGAAAAGTTTTTTTTTTTTTGAAAAGTTTTCGTTTTGAATGTTGTAAGGACTGAATCACGAAACGAAGTTGTGTTGTATTGCGAATGCTTAATTTCCGCATTACGTATACTCGATTTTCGATTCTTCTGTGGCGCCAACTCTTATCTATTACTTTTCATTGTTATTTGAACTGAATATGCCTAGGGAAGTACGACACAACGCTGTGATTGAACAACTAAAGACAGCAGCGAAGTCAGATCAGAATAAAATCATTTTTTTGTGTTTTGATAATTAATAAAAAAAAAAAATTCACACAAATGTGTAAAGTATATCTGAATTAATAAATAAATAAATTCCATTCTTGATACTTTTTGAGCAGACCTCGTATATGTACTGGCTGAAGACCAAAAGTTGTCAATGCTATGTAAAAAATAGTAAACTTGTTTATTTATCGCTCCATCTCAAGTCTTTGTTTTTGACTGTTTGCTCTTTAGCTTTCGTCTTTGTGCTTAAAAGAAAGCAAATAAAATTTGTTGTTTTAAGAACTTTGTTAAATTTAGAGGGAGTCATAAAAAGCGCTAACAAATGTGATCAAGGTCTTGATTTCTTAACATTTTTTAATCATTTTTTTGTGTTTTATATTTTAAAACTTATAATATACTTATAATTTTTTTTTAAATTAGTATAATAAATTGATTTATTTTATAATTTATTATATAAATTTATTGATTATATATTATTTATTATATTATATATTTCAACCCTCATTAATTTTCAACTATGCCGCTCTGTACTGTAGACTCTACAGTGAGGCATATCAGTTTCATGTTTCACAATGTTCTTCATTTTATGTTAGCCTAGAACATATTTCAAAATATGCTCAGCATTTGCACAGTTTGCTGTCGATACATATTGACTGAGCCCATTTACGTAACGGCGGGCGTCGCTGCCACTAAAATCTATATCAAAGTGAATGATAAGCTGATAAGCGACAGTCGCAGCTCGACTGGCGGAGAGTTCGAACATTGTGTTTTTCCCATATTAGAGTAATTAATGCCGTTCCCATTGGATGGAGAGCCGAGGGTAGACAACATGGAACAAAAGACAACAGCAACAGCAGAACAGTCTGAGTGGAGGTTGTTGGACAGCGAGAGCGATAAGTGAGAGCGAACTCAGCAGCAGAACAACAAAAATACACCTGCTAGCTGATAAGACATTTGAAGGTAGACAAAACGTTAATATTTAACTTGGTCACTTGGCCGCGACTCATTTGAGTTTCACACCTTGCGCGTTGCACGAATCGAACGCGAGACGCTCTGTGTGTGCGCATGCCGCATGTGTCCGCTATGTTAACAAAAGTAACGCTTATCAGCCTATTGCTGCTGCTGCTGCTGCTGTTGGCGCGGCACGGCGATGGCGCCACTGTTACCTGGGGACATGTCAACAAATATGCCAGCACGCTGCATGCACAAGATGTTTACCTGGGGCAGGTTAACAGTACGGATGCGAATGCGGATGTGGATGTGGCTGTGGTTGCCACAGCTGCCAGTGTGGATGTTCGCGACGTTGCATATGGCTCACAGGTAGCTCAACAAACAAGTTTATGTAAATAACATGCGTAACATGACATTTATCTGGCGCAGAATTCCAGTGCATTCGATGGCTACACGATAACGGCTGTGCACGCTTACGACATGACCTTGCCGGGCGGCAACGGCGGCCAGGTGCGTTTGCTCAGCGGCGGCGTGGGTCAACAGCATGCCGCCTTGCGTTTCCAGCGCTACGAACAGGTGCCCACGGCGCACTTTCAGTTGGTCATCTACGGCGTCGCCTTGGGATAGGTGTGAGTGCAAATAACTCTTATCTCCTAGTCGTTACAGATAGCTACACTCGCTGCTCAGTTTAACTAAGTTTTTACAACTTGCTTTCTCTCTCTCTCTCTCTCTCTCTATTTTTCTAGTCAAATGTCGCTGCAACTTGATTAAGTTGCAATTAAACTTTGAGTTCGATGTTGCCAACTTCCTGCTCGACAGACGGCAAAGCTAACTAAGTTTTTATAATGTCATAATTAAGAGCATGAGTTGCGCTTATTAACAGTGAAAAATGTGAAAATTCCATTATAAGTTAACGCACACATAGACACACACACACACACACACACGCACACCTCGAACGTGTGAGACTTCAGCAGCGTCGGAAATTAATATTGTGCGACATCTGAGCAGTAGCTGCGGATGTTGCTGCTGTTGCAGCTACTCGTAATGAGATGCAAATGTACACTTAACCAACCACCCAACCACCTACCCACCCACACTCACACACACACACACACACTCTCACACACACAAACCCGCTTAGCGGTTTGGTTTTGCAGGCGTAAGTCGCTTTAAGCGCCCGATAAATGCAGTTTAATTCAGCCACGCCCCTTTTTTCGCATGCGCCCACTCAAAATACAATATGGCACGTAAGAGGCTTTAGGCCGATTAAGAAATAATTTATGTGTGCGCTGTGCGCACTCGCATCATTCAATAGCTCAGCAATTGAATTTACGCTTTGCTTTTGCACCTGTTCTTGCCTTGTTGACGCTACCTGGCGATTACCTTAATGTGTTCAATCAGAGCCTCGTCTTAATCTATCAGAGAGCGTAGCTTGCATAAGATATGAATCATATGCATCGTTAAATAGTTATTAACTTGAGCTTGAAATATTAAAGCAAACTTAAGCCTAAAGCAAAATAATTGAATTAGTCATGAGTACGATAGGTGAGATATATAATTAAGCTGCATCGGGTATGTGGAATAAAACTAGTCTAGAGATTTATTCAGTATATTCAGATTAAGTTTTTATATGCTAATCAACAACAAGTATTTTTTTATAAAGGAAATGCCAAGCTCTTAAAAGAGGCTTACCAATTAAGAGCATAGCAAAAGGAATTGCAATACAACAAAAACTATTTCAAATATGATGTTGTTTTTGGTGTTATTTTGAAGAGAAGATTATGACATTATATATAGTAGTAGTGCTGATAGTGGAAGTGGATAAGTATCCAAGATGCAATAGAGTAAAAGCCTGCTAAAGCTTTGCAAGGCGGCAACTGACGAAGCACTACACAATGCAAGTCAAATTGCATATTAAAAAACAACCTAAAATTTTAATAAATATTTATTTTCAAATTTTTCATTACTTATTAATTAAATGGCAAATATTATTAAATATTTTAGCATTTAAAACTAATCAATAACTTAAACAGCTATCAAGCAATAGTTATCGAAAATAGTATCACTCTTGCCTGGTCACCCCGCACTTAGCTTGCATCTCTGTGTTAAATGCTTGAAAACTTCTTTGAGAAGTTTGCTAAAGTTGTCTTTTTTTATTTCAATAATTTATAAAGCTCATTCTGGACAAAAGTTTCGAAAAAGGACATTCGCTCTGTGCAAACTGTTTGAACTGCTGCAATATTATTAATAGCTGTTTGTGCTTTGTTTGCCATGTTAAATATTTGCACGAATCCATTGAATTGTGCTGATAGAAGCAGATTCAGAGTCCATTGTCAGCTTGCTTACAAATGCGTTTATTTGCACTGTTTGGGGCTGGCTGCCATAATTTGCTGATAACCATCAGCGGCAACATAAACAACATTCAGCAGACAATGAGTTCGGCTAATTTACGTTGCAGATTGCAGATGGCTGATATCTGATTGCAGTGGTCCTTTAAGCTTAATAACTTTTAATTCAGTCGGAAACTTTTTCGTTTTGTTATATGCCCGCAGAGCGCAGAAATTTGCATGAATAACCCAAAAAGAAAAAGATCCAAGCAATGGAGATTCTAAATCTAGCTGGGAAACCCTTGCCCGGGTGCCATTACGCGAGGCTTAATTTCAATTTCAATTGTGTACAATTCCCACGAGCTCACAACAATTTGGTTAGCGCTGGCAAATGCAAATTTCATGCATGCGTTGATTAAAATCTAAATTCTAGTTGGCCGCAAGCGACCCGAAACCGTAAACAAATAGAAATAAACCAACTCCGAGATTTTTGGAAGGCGTGCAAGGTGCTTGGAATTGTTACAGCTGCGGCGGACCGAAAACTTTGTGCCAAGTTGGGAAAGGGTAAATGTAAAAGAAGTGCAGCAGACAGCGTGAGCAACGCCCAGCAGGCAAAATGGGGCACGTCGGCCCTTTGCCACCTGAGCCCAGCAGCTGACAGGCAACACGCAGCTAACACCCAAAACTGACAGCATACGCGACAAAATGCTGCTGCTATGCGGTGAAGCACAAACAACAACACACGAACACACACCAGCACGCGGCTGCTGCATGTAAATTGCAGTGAAAATATTTGTCGCATTTGCGGGCGCACTTGCACAATGCGGCGTATGCGTAATTAGCTAAAAATTACGCTTCATTTGTGCTCGTGTCGGCGCGGCGGCATATCAGATGACACATAGGCCGGTTGAAAGTTCAAGGTAGATGCTGTGTTATTAAAATGATATATAATCGTTCGCTACGCAGCCAAGGAGCGCACACAGACACAAACACAGGCACCAGCTCATGGGTTAACGGGTTATCCGCTGCTCATAGGTAATTACCAGTTTGTACCTTGGCGCACATATAATTATACGGCGAGCTGCCGAATAGCCCGGGCCGCACTAAAGTTCTTCATTGCCACATTTAATAGCCGTTGCATTGCGCAACACTTTAATGAGCCCAATGTTCACATTGCCGGACACTTTCCGCCTGCCACACCTGTCGCAGCTGCCACCCGCTGGCAGCCACATGGCGCAAAATCAAGTGTTCGACCATTTGGGCTGTTAGCGTTTGTGCAGCAAACCGCAAATAAAATCAACACCAACATTTGCGCAAATTTCGCAACATACTGCAACATTGGCCAACAATTTGTGCGGCCAGAATGAAGTTTATGCGGAAACTCTAAACGCGAAATCAGAGTAGGTAAACTTAAGTTGGAGCACTAGGCAGAAGTAGAGTAAAGAGCATATAGTATAAAGTATATACATTAGTATCTTTATAGCACATATACTATATACTATAGTATCTATATAGTATATACTATACACTACCATATCTATAATTGGTGTTTCAATCAACACAAATGAGCTCACGTTTCAGATATGTTTGTGCTTTATTATTGCCTTTCGTGAGCTATTTTTGCTGTGTCATGTTGAAAATCTTAAATCTCACATCAGACATATAAATATATAATTAATGTAAACAAAGTATTTTCAATAATTTGTTCTAATATCTGTTGTGCTGTAGAGTTGGGTTTGTAGCTACACATAATTCGCATTAAACTTGAAATGAAATGAGCTGAAACTGAAACTAAAGATTCTTTTTATGCTTATACACGATGTGAAAGGAAAACAAGTTGCTGTTAGAGCTAGGGAGAGAGAGAGAGGGTGAGCTAGCAGAGAGCGGGACAGCAAGAGAGAGCGAGAGAGGGAGAGCTTGCAGGAGACTTAGAGAGAATGCAAGAGGAAGCTTGAGAGTGGAAAAGAGAGCAAGATTGGGATAGAGAGGGAGCTGGAGAGAGTTTGAAAGCTAGCATGGAGAGATAGAGAAGAGAGCTAGAGAGAGATGGCGATGTAGCACAGAGAGAGAGCTATAGATAGAGAGTGATCTAGAGAGACAGATCAAAGCCAGAGAGAGAGTGTGAGAGCTGGAGAGTCATATTTTGGAATATATACACGACTGAAGCCTTGTCTTAAGAAGCGATAAGATGGACTTCGAGCACTGAGCAAGGCTTTATAAGAATTCCTACATAATACATAATTATACAGTATTTGCTTATATCAAAATACTTTAACCAAACTATGAGCTGCTTCAACATATAATACCCAACTTATCAATATCTGTCTAGTACTTCATGTGGCTGCTATAGCAACATTGGTTGGCAGATAGAATTCTGAGTAAATTGATTTTGTTTAAATGATTGTAACAGACAGAAGGAAGACTGGCAGACACCATGGGGTATATATATTGTTGACCAAGACGCCGAGCTGAGCTGATTCAGACATGTTCATCAGTTCTTCTGTCTGTCTATCCGTCCGCCTGTCAGTCTGCCTGCCTGCACAAATGAGCACAGCCAGAGACTTGATTTGCTTCAAGGGTATCTTCTAGTTGGGCATTCCCCACCTACAGCACGCTTACTTGTTTATTTTACTGTTATTGAAAGGATTTCAAAAAGGGCATTTCAAATTTGAGCCCATTATTTGTTTGTTAATGAAGAGTTTTAGGCAATAAAAAATTGGCTTTTTTTATTTTTATGATTTTTCTTAAGCTCATTTGAAATGAAATTATTTTTTAAGAATTCGTCACAATTAGCAAAGGTATTACTTTGTAGGCCCTAGGGTCACATGCTCATGTCATTTACTATTTGCGTGGAAAATTGTTGAAAACGACAAACGGCATTTAATGCGAGTTGATTTCAAAGGAAATTCATGAAAAGCTTCGCCTGCCGCATGAACCTTTTGCTGGCTGCGGTTGATTTTGTTTGATTTGCTGAGGTTGTAGATAAATAAAACAATTTGAGGTAGTTCAGGAAATAATTGAAATATTTGCGTTGCACAAGCGCCGAAAGAATTAAGCTGTGTGGCAAGGGCAGTTGGGCTGTTGGGCTGTTGGGCCGCACTTTGGCTTTGGCTTGGCTTAATCAGAAAGTTGGGCAACGGCACACATGAGTGCATAGCTATGGTAAGTGTTTGCGAAAGTACAAACAAGAAATTTGAGTTCGTAGTTAGACTTAGTGCCTAGTTTTCAGTTGTTGGCTGTAGAAAGAAATAAAAACTTACCTGAGCTGGTGCCAGTGTGGCCTGCAGCAGCAGCAGTAAAGCAGCACCGAATAGCGCAAACATTTTGCGGCTGAAAAACAGGTGAAACAAAATTAATTTCTTGCTTGGCTAACAGTGCTCCGCCAAACAGCCCAGAGCAGGTTTGCTTGCAACATTTCAGAGTTTGCCGGCCCAGCGTAGTTTGTGGATAAAAACAAAAGACTCGACTGTTTCTGTATGCACAACGCGTTCTGCCGGACATTCGAGAATGTGAATTCTTGAAGCCAGCACAGAACAGAAGCTGCCTAGCCCAGTCCCAACTAGCTCGGAGCACAGGGGCGACGCTGAGCTCGTTGTGAGCGAACTGGTTAACGCTCGCCCTCAGGCAGCCTGGCAATATCTCAAGTCAAGTACATAGCATCTGCTTATTATGTAGAATGCTTCTTGCTTGATTGCATAATACAATTTGTACCTGAACACTGTTTTTTTTTAGCTGTTGGTTTTTGTTTTTAATTTGAGCTACGTTTCTTGCACACACATAAATCACAGACAGCAAGAGACTCGTCCACACGCGACGCGATGTCGATTAGCACTGATTCAGAGTCTGTGTCGCAGCGACTCTGTCTGGCTATGAGCGGGGCTCAAACTTGAAGTGAGAAATGCGAAATAGCCTACGGCGGCAGCTACTGAAACTGGACGTCTGTCTGTTCAACTGGATTTGAGTCGCAATTGAAATGCAAACGTCTCTTTATATAGGAATTTATATGTTCAATGTCTCTGATGAATTCATAAGCGGCAAGTAGAATGCCACAGATAAGCGCCAGCATATGATGCATGAGTAAGCTATAAAAGCAAAGCAGTAAACATTTAAGTCCATATAATATACGAACTCTTGCATTTCGGCTGGTCTTCTGCTACAATTGCGCATACGCCCCAGTGCCGTAGTGCAGACCGGTTGCGACTCCATTATATCACTTGAACACAGAGCTTTTATTTCGGTTCGAGCCAACTGGCCTGACTGCAGTTGACCATAAAGAAGCGGTTGTCGCTTAATGCGCTTCGCTTCAGTTTCCATTGCGGTCGCATTGAAGTTTTTGCAGACTCGCATGGCAATGTACTTGTGTGGCTGATGGACTTTTTAATGTATGTGTGCCACTTGCTGACGGACTCTGCCCTTTAAGCCTTGCCCTGCCAGATAACAAATCAAATAGGCAAATGGCTATTTCTCTTTCGGCAGCAGCAAGCGGGCTTTGTTAAGTTGGTGAAACGTTCTTTATTCATTTTCGTGGTTGTTGCCTTCTTGTCCTAATAAGCGCTCATTAAATATTCAAATGACAGCTTTTGCTTGGCTTTTGTTCGATTCGACTGACCACGCAGCGTGGGAGCACGTGCTGGATAAATTTAAATGCGTGAGCGAAATCAAATGCCTAGAAAAGGGCCGAAGTCAAAAAATAATTCTAATTAAATGCGCCAAATTTGACGGCAGCCAATTCCTTTCCATTTTACCAGCCAACAAAGGCTCAAGCTGGGCGCATGATTCATTGGCGCGTGTATTCCCTGAATTGCTATTTGATTTAAGCTTAATTTCTCTATATTAATTCCAGTTGTTTGAACTGTGCGACCCCAACTTAATTCTAATCGTTAGTCTACGACATTGGTAAATTTGTGAAACGTGTTTGCTTAATTGATTCAAGTTTAAGCTTTTATATATATATATATATATATATATATATATATATATATTTGTTTATATATAATTACTATTTGATCTGTTTTTGATTAGATCTGTAAACAAGCTTGATAATGGACGAAATCATCTCAGCTTTCGTCTAATCTTTTAAAGAGCACTTCTTCACACAATTTGTCGTCAATTATTATTAAAAATAAAATATAAAATATAATATTTCCGAAGATGAAAGCTCATTAAAAATGTATTCAATGAATTTCCTATATATTTTTGTGACAACGCCTTTAATCTTTTAGGTGTTATTAGTAAATTGGCTTCTCGGAAATGTTTAAACATTGATTTCATGATGACTGACAGGCGCCCTGCTGATATGGACAGGCGTAGGCTGTTGACATTTTTGCTGCGCCAATTTCGTTTTGTTCGTGTTTTCTCCAGTGTAAAAGCTGTTGACATTTTTATGCGACGCGCAAAAGTATGCTACGCTTTTTACTCCACACTCTGCATGAATTAATTATACAAACAAAAAGCGTTGCCTACACTTAGGCGGCCCCTGAAAATGGCCACGCAAAATAATGGGCAACAATTTCCATTGAATTATTAGGCAAGGCTTTTGTGTATGTATGTATATACTTGTATGCGTGTATATGTGTATACATATTTTACATTTAATATATATAAATTTATATATATTCATTAGACTTTCTACGTCAAATTTGTTATCTAGTACAGCAATTTAAAGGAAGCTTTAATGTTAAATATTTGAATTGGATATGGAATTAACTTTAATGTTAAATATTTGAATTGGATATGGAATTAACGTCAGTTAAGTTGAAAATTATTTTATTTTCAACAATACTTTTCAGTTAAAACGCGTTATGAACACACTTTTAAGCCGCATAAAAACTCCATTATATAAACATTTTTTACATATATTTTTTATACTTGTTTCTTTTATAAATACAGTTAAATTAGACTTACAACGACTTTACATATATCACAACGAAAACATCTAAAAGCTAAGCTCTAAAAGAAGAACACACATACATTCACACATGCACATACACATAAAAACACTCACACACACTTAAGAGTCGTAGCTAACACATAGAAATGCCCATTAAACACAACATTCACAACATTGAGAAACGTGTGCGCCTTGCCCTTTGTTTGGCCGAAGGTCAAAGTTGAATTACGAACTAATTACGAATAAATGTAAACGTAAACGTAAACGAAAACGTAAATTTAAATGTGAAGCGCTGTGCTTGGCTCGTCAACTACGCCAGCTCCTCGCGCATTTGATGACGCTCAGCGGCGCCAGTGCTGGACAGTCGAAACTTGCTGGGCACCGCTGCCGGATGAGCCGCTGGCAGACGTAGTGGCTCCTCCGCGACGATAGTTACCGATTTCTCCACAGCATCCGCCTGGCGATAGCTGCCTGTGAGGCGACCCACCATATTGTTGACGGCTCGCAAAGTGGATATGGGAATCTGCAGTGAACGGCAAACAGTTGTTTAGGTTACGATTCGCACTTGGATCGAGCAGTTAGCTTACCTCGAAAATGCTGTCGATTAAGGGTCGCAGGCTGAAGAATGGGAAGCTCGTTTCAGCTGCATTGCTGCCTGCAACGCTGGCACCACTCGCCGCACCGCCGCCCAAATTCCCCAGTACCAATGCGGCATTCTGTTGTATGCTATTGCCGCTGCTAACTGCGGACTGAGGTCTTTCAGAGTGTGCATAATCGTAGCTCGGATAGAGCAGCATATTCTGCACAGGCATCGGCTGCAGCAGCGTCTGAAATAAGCAACAATTAAGACTTTAATTAAATCATAGAAACTGCGTTTGGGGAATTTCTGGTTAAGCAGAAACGGTTCATAGCAACACAATTAAAACAGTTTTGTTTTTCTAATTAATCAATTAATATAAATGAATAATTAGCTCACTTAATTGCTATTCTCAATGCAACTCAATTAATTTATTTTAGAATTATTTATAAATATATATATGTAGATATATATATATTGCCATAATGCATTTAAATTGCAAAATTTGTTTAGGTATTATTTATGAAGGCCTACTAAATTATTTACATAAATATTTAAAGCTCTCAATTAGTTAATATAAACTTTAATAATTGCAAAGAACACATAATTCAAGTCGAGGTTGCACTTGTTTAAATGTTCTTAATTACAAAGTTTAATACCCTATAAAACATTTCTAGATTTATTTTTATTTGCGCTCAAAAGTATGCTACAAAAAATTGCACTTCCCTCGGCGTCTTTAGAAACATTTGAATGGAAGCTTCCTACTTACATCGTTGATTAGCACCAGCTCCTGGCGTTGTCCTCTCGCATAGCCGGTGACACGTGTAAATTCCGTCACCAGGTGCGTCATGACCACCAGCAACACAAACCATACAAAACGGTCCATGGCTGTGATAATTATCTGCAAGAGTCGTTAGAAGGGAAAAGTAAACAGCTTGATTAATTTGGCATATCCATTAAGGATGTTTATACACTTCAACGTACATCATTGTCGAAAGTCATTGGCGGCAATTAAATTGTCGTTTAATTTGTCAGCTGGCACATTGATCTTGCAATTAGATTTGCACAAGATCTGCAATTGCAATTACCAAAATAACAAAAACTCAAAGTCAAGTTGATGCCGATCGCAACTTTGCGACTGAGCCGTCAACCACGTTCTGTGAGCCAAATGATTTTGTGTGCACGTTTTCAGTGGAGAATTCGCAGTTGCAAAGTTTTTCAGCTGTTGCGATTGCTGACTGCTGCTGGGACTCTGAAATGTGGATTAGCACAAGGCCAACTTGCCGCGTGGCGTTTGCCAGGCGTAACCAGTTTTGTTTCTCTGCTGCTGCGACTGCTACGGCTGCTGCTGCTTCATGTGTATCAAGCAGCAAGTTTTTCCACAGCCCGCACATTTTCCGCGCACTTAAATCTATTTCGAAAGCCGTCCCAAAGCAACAGCAGACGCTCGGCCAAGGCGAGTGACCAAGCGGCGTATGAGCAATAACACGCTGCAGCAGCTTCTATACGATAAACCAGCCAGCGAAAATGTTTATATTTTTATGTTCTATTTATGTATGTTTATTTATGTTTTTTACTATTTTTTTTATATTTTTTTTATATTTTTTTTAAACATGTTTTAGCCTTTTTTAAGTATTTTTAGTGGTTGCCACCTTAATGTATCAACATTTGTTTACATACATAGGCAACAGCTTAAGCCAACAGCAAGTTCATAGGTCCATCTAATGCAATAGCAGTCAGTCAAATAATAATATATATAAAAAACAAACATACATATATATGTATATCTGCATATATACATAAGTATTTCACGCTTGGACGCCTTTTTGTTTATGTTTGTTAACTCTTGTCGCAGTTTATTTGACTGATTGTGTTTGCAACATCAGCTGCAACTACACGCGCTGTGGCATGGAGCATTTGTCAAGCGGCACTGACTTTGCATAGTTCGTCATGTTGGACCTTCCCAGCCTAAGCCGTGGCTAAGTGTGCCAAGTCTAATTGTACAATTGTTTAAGTTGTTTCTGAAGATTCTGTCGCAGCCTTGACATGAATCGTCGGGCGCATAAACAAAAACAATAAAGCATAAGCTCTAGCCGGGTAATTAAATAAATAATTAGGCAAATGTTGGCGCCAGCCCTGACCCTTGACTTGGCTGGTTCAAAAGATTCTGCTGGCTTCAAAACAAAATGCCAAAAAAAAAAAACTAAAAACAAATCAAAAGCGAAACAGCCCAAAATAAATGCGAAAAAACGAGCATTGAACAGTTATTAAATGGGAAAATTATTAACATTAATTTAGGAATTGCATAAGTCAAGAGAGAGAAAACAAAATGTGTGATTCACTCAAGCGACAATGCTTGACCAGGGCTAACACAGAAAAGTGATAACCACAACAAAGTTGTAAACACTTTGAAGTCGGCTATACACGACTGCTGTATGCTCGCTCGCTAACAGCTTTTTGAGTAGGCAGACTGAGTATATTAATATATTAGATGTTTCATTTGTTTTATAACTTTAATTTTATAAGCCATAAGGAAAGAGTTGATATGGACAAAATTTAGAAACTTAGAGAAATTGTATAAATTATATATAAATATATAAATATTTATATGGTTGCATTACTCTTTATGCAACTCAAACCTAAGTTTAAATATAGCAGCAGTATTAAAGTGGCTTTTATATATAATAACTTAAGCTATGTCAGCTGCAGAAGGACATTGCACTGAGCCCATAAGCTCTGTTTATTTCTTCCAGCAGCAATGGTCGAGTTGATCGAGTCTTAGCCCTAGCCGTTTGCATATCTTTCCTTCTTCACTTCTCAGAATTAAATACTTAAAATTTTACAAGTTTTAGCTCAAGTTAATTTTCAGTTTCAATAACTTTTGTAATTCAATGAAATTGATGAAAAGCAACTTCAGCTAATTGAGTTCACCTTTAAAATGTTCTTAAAACTCATGCATCTATAAAGTCTATATCTGATCTAGATGCCCGAGTGGGTATGCACGACTATGCTTAAAAACTCTACTGCTCCACAGTTCAACTAACTGCAGAAACCATTGCCCCCAGCCCATATACTCCACAACGCATTTCATGAACGAGCAGAAGACAGCAAACACAGCTGACATTTGTGTATGCGAGCTTAAGACTAAATTGAGTTAGTTGCTGGTGTTGGGCGTGGTCTGCCTCTGAGCACTGGGTCTGTCATTTGTGTTAAAGTTCTCTGCGTTTTTCCATGCTTTCTGTTATTATTATGCACATTTTAAGTGGGCAACAAAGTTGGGGCTCGGCTCTGCCAACTCGAACACGTTGCAAAAGAAATCAAAGACTGCATTTGGCATCGCATTTATGCCATACGATTGCAGCTCATGTGTGCGAGGCATAACCAAGTATTATTCATAAATAATAGAGCTCAATCAGTTGAGCAGGCAGTCGTATGCCCTTTTTTCGCTCAACAATCCTCAATTGTGGAAAAAGTCTCCTGTTTTGTCTAATTAAAAAGCTTTTGTGTTTGATTTAAATGGCATTTCCAGGGCGTTGCAGCTTGTTCGAGCAAACGGAATTTGTAGAAAGCTTCACAAAACTGCAAGCAACTTGCAGTTGGCTTGGCCACTGAGGAATTGTTTTGCTAAACTATTCAACCAAACAGCTCAGGCACAAGCACAGGCATAAATATAAGTCCATTTGAGTTGCTTTTGTCTCTCTCGTATTTAGATTCAATTTATTGTGAGTTGGGCAAATTAAATTTTGGCTAAGCTCAAAGTGTTTTCGTTTATGATTTTGCTGCAGCGGGCGTATACGTAATATGAAACGCATACGCAGTGTTGTGGTCGGGGGCAGCTGTTCAACTCTTCAACTGTTCCAACTTCAGCGTGTGAGTTTTTATATTTGTGTTCTTTTTTGTTGCTGTTGTTTACTGTTTACTTGGCTATGGCAGCGTGACATTTTGTTTACATAACGCGCAAAAAATCTTTTGTTATTCTTTCTCAAAAAACTTTGGCAAATATTCAAAGTGCAAACAGAGCCAAAATCGCGTGGTAAACACATAATGCAAAGTGGATAGATAGCTGTCTGGCACGTTATTTAGTCTGATCTGCTAGGATGTGCAACAGGCACACCGCTCATCTATTGCGTCTATAGCTTGGCTATTATTTCTGTCACATATTTATGCGAATAAATTTTCATCAAAGAAATTGTGGCGGCAGCAAAAGTTTCATCTTTATTTGCCGACTGTCAATAAATGTTAATTATATTGCATACACACGCACACACACACACACACACATAGAACAGCAAACGCTTTAAGGCATTTTTAAATAACAATCAGCGAAATTTTGTTTTGTTTAGGTGCGAAACTCATAAAAATCAATTTAATCTCGTTTGCTTTCGGGCAGCTCTGAGGAAACACGTTGGCAAACACAAGTTACACTAGCCAACAAAGGCTGGCAAGCAAGCATAAGATTATACTAAATAGCTTTAGTCGGGCATATCTCCTTAAGATATGAGAAACTCTTTGGGTAAGTGTAAAAAAAAAAAAACTAAACTTCATCACAATTTTGTTGGCCAGTGTTATTTTCGGAACTTGGCAATTAAACTTGCAACCCATGGCAAATTTATGTTTATTTCTTGTATTTATGCGCGTGTTAGCTCGAATATTATTTCGGCAACATTTCATTCACTTTAATCTAGTTTCTCAACGTGCTTCTACTATTGAGACATGCCTGATATAATGACTAATCGTCTACGTATATGATAAGCTATATGAACTGTAGAAGTCGTGACTTTGTGTTCATTGGTATTTACAGTATCGTAGCTTAAACTAATCTTTAGTCAATTCATAATATCTATTATTAAGTTAATATGAATATGCATGCGGCAGGTGTGAAAAGTTGCATTATTGCCACAGTTATAGTTCTCAGAAATAGAGACGAAGAAACTATAATAAAGTTCTTAGATATTAATAGAGACATAGCTACAGTTTGACACTCTGCTGCTGATGATAGAAAATTTAATTTGCTCTAAATGTTATAAATTTCTAGATTTACCTGAATTGATGGCTTATAGACTAGAAGAAGCTAGTTTAGATAGTTAAGCCCGTCGCGCTCTTTCGATACAAAGCGAAACTTATGTTAAACAACTTTAAGCAGAATTATTATTTAATCATGAGCCAAACTTTAGGTCAACGCAAAGAGCAAAACCAAGTTGAAACTCAACTTTGATTGGCATTAAAAATTAATCTTATCTAACCTAGACTACATAAATTCTGCAGAAAAATTATTCTTTATATGATTTTTTAAAAATATTTTCAGCAGAGTAATTTTTTATATGTTCTTATAAAAATTAATAAAACATAAAATTTAAATTTATATCCCAGAAACTTTTCTTTGTCATAACTGATTAATTTTTTAACATAACAAATTTTTTTTAATCAAATTGGAGTTTTCGTAAGAATGTTTCAAAGTTTTAGAAGAAGACAAGCCTATTCAGCTGAGTGGCATTGTATGTATATATATGTATGTATATATGCATATGAACATGTATATTTAATATACATATACCTGCATAAATGTAAAATAAAATTATTTCACTTAAAGTTAAAAAGCAAGCACGATTCCAGTTCAGACAAAAGTTCACGAAGTTCAAGTTCAACGAAAAATAACAAAAACGGCGAGTTTATTAGGTAATTAAACTTAAAGTATTTTTATAAATGTTGCTGATTATATTTTTGAGAAATACAGTCAATTCCACTTCAAGCGCTTCAATGTTCAATAGATAAAATATTAGAGAGAAATTAATTATTGCTCGTGGCTCAGTCAGCAGACCAAAGAATTTGTTTGTCTATCTAATATTTTAGGGCTGTTTCACTTAAATCTAATCAATTTAGATAACATTTCAGCAACGTCTT